CAAACATGTTTACAGAATGTACAAACATGTTTACAGAATGTACCAAATCAGTAAGCAAACATTAACTGTTCCTTAAATCATTTATGCGTTTACCCGGCATCATTCCAAAACACTTTCGGGGTGAGGTGGGGATGCACATATCAGTTCTTCTTTGGGGATCATGATGGCTCTCGGAAGTCCCGTATAAAAGAAAGCATTATTTTCTAACTTAATATTCAAAACCTACAATGATAACTAAGAGATCGGTAGTGTCAAAATACTGCGATCACCGACCAACTCTATACTTTCAGTACGTTGCAGTGGTAATTTTAGAACCAGTGGTATTGCTGTTCACAGCTCTGCTTTCAAATCTCCAGTATCCAGAACCAGTTACGAAGTAACTTCCATGAAATTAATTGTAGAAAATTATGAGTGTGATTTTTGAAATGAGTGTAGATATAGAAGAGTAGAAGATATAGATATGTTTCTTCAAAAAGTACAACAGAGTTAGAGAAAACAAGCATTAGTTGAGAGTAGGAGCTCGTTCTTGAAAGTCGCCAGTGACTCTGTAACTAAGAGAGAAACAAAAAATGTACTGTTAATTGAAGGTCAGCCATGAATTAATTTACAACAAAAAATCATGTTTCACTGAATACGTATAACGAAAAAGCTTATTGTTTATTTGTAATTATGCACAAAGCTACACAATGGGCTATCTGTGCTCTGCCCACAACAGGTATCTAAACCCGATTTCTAGCATTGTAAGTCCGCAGACATACCGCTGTGCTACTGGGGGGCAACGCAAAAGCAGGAGTTGTTTTAGAAGGACTTCTAAATCAAACATGAGAAAAGAAAAAACAATGAAAAGGAATAAAATGCACTAGCCAATGATTCAGGTTATAACCAGAAATTTGTAAAATAAAAATATGTGGTCACCTAATAGAAGTTACCTGCTTGTATTTTCCACACAAAAGTAGAAATATTTTACTTGTAATTGTTATAAAGTAATTTTAAAAATGGGAAAATATTTAAGATATGATGGTTAAGTTGCTCAAAAATCAAAGACGCATTTTTCTGCTTTTCTGCAAACCGCTCACAACTTCTCATACATTATTTAGTAAAAGAAAAAGTTTTTTTATTAAGAGCATTTGAGTTCTTAATTAATTGGCTGTTGTTCGTGCAAAGCTATACGAGGGCTATCTTCACTAACCGTCCCTAATTTAGCAGTGAAAGACTAGAGGGAAGGCAGCTAGTCATCACCACCGACCGCCAACTCTTGGGTTATTCTTTTACCAACGAATAGTGGGATTGACCATCACATTATAACGCCTTCATGGCTGAAAGGGCGAGCATGTTTGGTGGGATGGGGATTCGAACCGGTGACCCTCGAGTTCTCAATTTAAAAGAAATACAGATTAATGTCCAGTGCTTCACTATGAAAGTATGCAAAGACTGCATGATCCGAAGAATTGTTTACGAACATACACCATGACTGATAAAGGAAAAAAAAAACCAGCGGTGTAGAAATATTTATCAATGTATTTGTTGCAATAATCTAATACCTGGCTAAACACTATATCGCTCTTCGGTAAGCCAGTGAAACATTGTATAATTCAAAAAATAGTTTTTTCCGTGTTTTTTGACAAACAACAATAAACTATTAAGTAAATTCTGTCTAGTAATATACTAGCAGCTAAGAAGAATAGTAAACAAAGAAATTCATACTTACCTTTTAACACGTATGATACAATATAAACTAATACTACACATTTCTAAAAAAAAGTTAAAACATTAAAATGTGCTTATGTCCAAGAGTGTAAATACCATTTTGTGCTTTTAAATTGTACAAATGATATCTTGCGCTCTCAAGTTTGATTACATTCAATGCACGAACGTCGAAGTTGCTGAACATTATATATATATACTTTTTTTTTTCTGTAAAC